CCTCAGGGGAATCTGGTCAGAGAACTGCAGGGGCCACTACACAATCAAGTGAGAAAATGTATATGATATGTATTAGTCAGCTTGGGCTGCTGTAACAGAGCACCAGGGACCTGGTGGCTTAGAAACAACAGAAATTTACTTCTCCTGGCTTCCAGGCTGGAAGTCTGAGATCATGGTGCCAGCATGGTTGGTACTGGTGACACCCTCTTCTAGGCTGCAGGCTGCTGCCTTTTCACGATGTCCTCACATAGCAGAGAGAGGGAGGGGGCTCCTTGGGGCCTCTTTTATAAGGGCACTCATCTCATTCATGAGGGTTCATCCCTCATAAATGATACCATGAGCTCAGAGATCATGATTTTGATATATGGATTTGGTGGGGTGGGGCACAAATATCAGTCCATTGTGTGAAAGATTGCAAACTATAAAGTGCTGTGCATAACGGTGGTTATGTTGAAAGGATAAAAGAAACTGAAGTTAAAATGTAAAGGACCAGGTATTGTTAAGCTTCTAAGCTGCACACAAAGCCTGAAATTCCTGTGGCAGTTAAGATAATTCCCAGAACTGCCCATTAGATGTGTGTTGAAATCCCCCCCTTGACCACCTAGTTGCTTAATGACCCGGACCCGTGCAGCTCAGCACGTACGCACCCTGGGGCCTAAACCAATCAATTTGAATGTATACTCCACCTTAGGACTGACCTGTCACCCCTGCCCGACGACCTGTTCCCGCCAATGAATGTACTAATCATGTTTGAGAGTTGTTGTTTGATTTTCCCGCGGTGTATGATGATTTGTTAAAGGGGACTATGACGTGTGTAAAGTCCCTGCCCTCTCTAAAAAATGTATATAAACCCTGCACAAGTTGTTCTCGGGGCTCTTGGCCGCTCTCCCTTCTTGAGTGAGCACGGAGCCCCAGCGCGCTGGATCTTCAATAAACCCCCTTTTGCTGTTGCAAGAGACGGTCTCTTGGTGGTCTCTTCCTCCATCATTCGCAGGTCCCTTACAATGTTAGGCTCCCCAAAAGGACAATACATAGGGCTGTCCTGGGGCTGCTCTTTCCCTAACCCCACCTACAACTCTACCGACATGGAACAGAAAGAAGGAGGGAATCGGATACATTCTAATTATTTGGGGGACAGGACCAAGCTGTCCTGGCCGGGTCCTGGGTTCCAGGACTCATTGGTGGGAAGCACCTGACCCATCAGCTAGAAAAGCTGACACTTTGGGTGGATAGACTCAAGGTGCAGACTGGCAGGAGCAAGAGAAGCCAGGTGACAGCAGGGTAGAGTGAGGTGGCAGCAGAGTCCAAGGGGTTACAATGAACAGGATGGGCCCCTGCAGCCCCTCAACTTGAAACGGGCCCTTTCCCATGAGGTTATGGTATCAACCAAGACTCTTTCATTTCCAGGGGCAGAAATCCAGCTCAAACTGGTTCAGCCATGCAGGGAACTGACCAGCTCTCAGAGTAGGCCGTGGGGCATGGCTTGACTGAAGGACCAGCTGGACCCACCAGGAACCAAACTCTTTCCCTCGTGGTCTTGGTGCCTCTATGGCTCCATTCTTAGTGGCTCTTTTGCAGTGGCAAGATGGCGGCCACCACGCAGGCCCACATCCTGTGCTTCCCATCCAGCAGAAAGGCAGCCCCTGGGGGTGCTCACAAGTCAGAGTGTCCCTTCTGCTTCCACCTGTCACAGAGTCATCTCCGACCCAGTCGCTGAGGCCAGGGGAACTAGATCGTCACAGCTCAACAGCTTGGAACCATGTGTCCACCCTGTGCATATCCCAGGATTCAGGCCACTCACCCTGGGTGGACAGAGTCTGCAGACTAGGGGTGTGGCCTCCCAGAGAAGGTGGGTGCTGCCCCAAGTGAGTGACAGGAAACTGGTGTCAGACCAGCTCACACTTCTTAACCATCACCTGACCCTGGGCCCCTGCAGAAGCCACACAGGGGACACCCTGTCCACTTAGAAGAGGGTCCAACAAAGCACAGGGCACCCCTGGGCCTTCACCAAGGTGGCCATCCCCGGGCTGTCACTCACGTGTAGACCACAGCTGGTGTCCTTGGAAGCTTAGCCCCACGGAGCGCAGGACCCATAGCTCCCACCACAACAAGCCCTTGCCTCCAGCCCCGGGCTCACTTTGGCCCCCCGTCATGCACCTCCCTGCTGGATGGCACTTTCTGGTCCTGTTCTTCCCTTCTTCTTGTCCGCCTTTTGCAGGTCTGTGGCTCTCCATCGGCCCAGTTTGCAGGACAGCGCCTGGCTGAAGGCTGTTTCCTGAAGAGCGAGTCAAGGGGCTTCAGTTCTCCCCCTGGCTTCTGCCACCCCAGGGCTTCTTCCACGGTCACACCTCACACCCTGGCTCTTGAGCTGCTCCTCTGTCCACTCCACACCCCAAGACAAGGAATAGGTGCCCTGCCTGGTGGGAGCACCTGTCCCAAGGCTGGGACGTGGGATTGAGGGCACTTACAGAGCCTAAGCCAGCACCCCCAGCACCCCAGCACCCCAGCACACCTAGCCTCCCCATCTCCCCAGCAACCCCAGCATCAGCGTGAGCTACTGAACCGGGGTCACTCCAGTGAATTTGAGGTGACACGAAATGACCACACAGACACGGAAAACACCTTTTCTGAGCGTCAGGACGGCTTCCCCTCCTCCTGCTGCAGGCTCCCACAGGGGGCAGGAGGAAAACACGCTGGGGAGAGACAGGGAGCACGTTCTGAGGCTCGGCTTTTGTTACTGGGGGAGGGGGGGCATTCCATGGAACATTCTATCCCCGAAAGGACAAAAGGTAGGGTTACGACACACAGGTGGGCGTGACTCAACCCCATCGGGTGACACCCACTCCCAGGGCTGCGCCTTTCTGTCCCAGCAGAGGCAGGTCCACATGCACTGCAGTGGGTGCAGTGTCGGTCCAGCACCTCCTGGCTCAGGTCTTACAGATGCGTGCCTAGCTCCTGCTCAGGGGCGGCCCCCGATGATCCCCAGCAGCCCCAGCGTCCCTGACATGACGGCTGCTTGTTGCCGTGGTAGTTAATGTTATTTGTGTTTGCAGAAAAGGCGCCGGCAGCCTGGCTCGGGTAGATGTATTCATCACAGGGCCAGCTCGCTGCCCGCCAGCCCAGCACTCTGCAGGACCAGAGTCACGAGAGGCCAGGTGGAGAATCCCCAGGGGGCGGGCTTTGGAGACCACATATTGGGCAGCCATGTGGCTAGGCGGCCTGGCCAGGGCCACTAGGGGGCCCATCGTGGTTCTAGGGTCCTGTCCTTTCCCTTGCCCACCCACCTCCAGCCCCAGAGGCCTGGCAGCTCAGGGCAGCTGGAGCCTGGAGGGTCCTGCTCCCTTCTCGGTCCCCTTACCCCAGATCCTATTTCTTTCATTCTTGGCTCAAGTGTGGAAGCCTAACACTATGCCGCCCCTGGGCTGGGCATTGTGGGGGACCCAAGGTGAGCCTGAGAGGGCCTTTGTCCTCGACCACGCACAGCCTGTCCCCAGGAGAGGGAGCACCCTAGCAGCTCACAGTGGAACTGGCCCCGGGATAGAGGAGGAGCTGCGGAAGCTGGTCACTTGCTTCTCCCCAGCTCCACGTGCCCACGGTCTGCCCCAGCGCACCCACGTCCTCCGGTGCCAAAGTCGAGCTTGCCCAGGAAGGAACAGGTACACTTGCAACTGTGTCCACGAACCAAATTTGCAAAACCAAAAATTCAGTATGAACACTGGCAGGAGGGGGGCTGGGAAGTAGGGAGCGTGTTTTGGTGGGGGCCGGGCCTGCTCCAGCCTCTTAAAACACAAATTTTGTATTTGTCCTTTAACGTACAAACGAACGGCCTTTTCTTGTAAGTCTTGCCCACGGCCTTGTCTATCACTTCAAAACACCCTGCCTCAGGCTTGAGAACACGGACCACGGGCACAGGGAATGCTGCGACCCCCTTGGGGAGGCCCAAGATACCGGCCACAGTGGCCCTGGGGCTGGGTGACTCTTACAGAGCAGCAAGCTAGTGGGGGGGGGGCAGCCTCGAGAGGAAGAATCGTCTGCCCTTCTCCAGTCACTGCACGCCCTTCCACCGTGGGTTACAGCCCTGCTTAGGGACAGCTGATGGCAGCCCTTGGCCCTCAGGGTTCCCCACCCCGACATTCTAAGCCCCCCGTGCTGGTCTGATCCCCATGGTCCCTTGGCCGGCCGCTCCAGCCTGGCCACACGACCTCTAGCACTGTACCCCCTGATCTGCACTGGCCTCTCCAGATGCAGACTGGCCTCCCCCAGGCGGTCCTCCATGACATGTCTTTTCTGGGTGCCCAGGAGCCCACAGGTGCCTGACACCGGGAGGCACCTCCTTTGTCTTCACCTCCCTCCCTGTTGGCTCACTTAGCTGTCGGGCAGTAGGCAGGTTGGGAGTGGCCAGGCTGCGCGCTCTCCTCATGCTGCAGGCCAGCCTTGGCTGCTCCGGCCTCCAGACTCAACCGAGAGAAAGCTACCAGCCTTCTGGGGCCCAAGACCAGAATCACCTAATTTCCTGACTCCGTCACGAGTTATATGGCCTTGGGCAGGAAACCCTGTGCCTCGGTTTCCTCATCTGTAACATGAGGATAGTAATAGTCAGACATCTGGTGAGTGCTATATCAATGTCTGCTGTTATCAGTGAGTGAATGAATCAAAGTTCATCTGCATCCTCGAGGCTCCCGTGTGGCTGAAGTGTTCTGGCCTGCTCATTCAGGTACCACGCCTCATCCTCTGAGCACCTGCTGGGTGTGCTGTAAGGAAGTGCTGCACCAGGGGGTGGGGGTAGAAAGTCAAGTGACAGAAACCTTCCTGCTGCAGGGCACGGGTGGCAGGGGAAACTGACAGGTGAGTGCAGGCAGCCTCCGGGATCTGCTAGACCCTGGCAGGGCAGAGGGCTTGGGGGGGGAGCCGGGGAGGCAGGAGCCCAGCATGCAGGGGACCCCGGAGCTGAGCTTTCAAAGATGAGCACAATGGAAATCAGACAAGGAGGAGCGAAAGGATTCTGTTTGTCTGTTTTTTTTTAATTATCATAATAGAAAACAACAAGAGCAACAATGCTAACAAAGGGGAAGGTTTCACCTCTGGTTTTACATCCTTGAAAGTTACATATTTTTCATCAAAAGAACACACTGAAATCTTACGTGAAGAGAGAGAGGCTTTTCACCACTGAAGTCAGTGGTCTCATGGCAAAACCAGGTGTGGGAGTAGCAAAGACCTACAGAAGTAGTTAAAATACCTTTGAATCAAGGAAACTGCAGGTAGATTATGAAAACGATAATAAGACACAAACATTTCTGAATCTGTCGGCATGAAGAACTGTTTTCTGCACGTGGCAAGTTATAAGAATAAGAATTCTGTAAAGGTTTAAATAGTAGGGAGGGCAGGAGGAGGACTTTAGCAGGGGAGAGAGCTGGGCACGTGGGAAAGGGTCCGAAAGAAGAGAGGGTACAGGCTGGTCCTCTGCTGTTCACCGGCCTCCCATGCCACCCCACCCCCAAACTCTTCCCCAGACCGCACTTCTAAGAGGGGCTGATGTGGGCCAGTCCCTGGAGGTGCCAGAGACCCAAGCCACTGGTGGGGACATGTTTAGCCTCAGTGTCCCACCCCTTTGTGGGGTCTTCTCCACTTAGGCTAGGAGTCCTCTCAAAAGCCGCAGAGAGTGGAGACAGAGTGGCACAGGCTTCCAGAAGTCCCATCCAACTTGTCAGGAGTTCCCGTCGTTGTCCCCACAGGGATTCTCTGAACTCAGGTGGTGGCCATGATGACCGCTGTTGCTGGGAAGGGCTTTTATTTATTCAGTGTCTCACAAGAGAGCAGAAGAGGAGGTTTGGGAAAACCCTCATCATTTTGGAGTCAGTGATAGTTGGACCTAGAACAGGGTTTCCCACCCTGGGCCCTGCTGGCCTTCAGGGGCTGGCTGACCTTTATGTCATGTGGGTCTTCCTGTGCCCTGTGGGACGTTAAGCAGCAACCCTGGCCTCCACCCACCAGTTACCATCGTCACCCCCCCCCACATCCACGCACATCAAGTGGTGACAACCAAAATTGTCTGTAGACATTGCCAAATGTCCCCTTGGTGGCAAAAGTCCACAACCGAGAACCACTGACCCAGTGGAATCTGAAACCTCTCAGGTGCCTCGGACCCTCTCTCCTGCAACCAGCTCCACCTGGCAGTGAGCCCAAACCTCCTGGGGACCCAGCCTCCTCCAGTCAAAGTGTCACCAGGCCCTCCTGCAGCTGCCCCGGCAGGCAGGACTCTCAGAGGAAAATGGGGACCATGCTTTGAACTAAGTGCTGCAGCTTCTCCTTCACCAAGATGTCACATAGACTGTGGTGAGACCAACTCTGGGGCCAGGGACTGGGGTGCAAGGTGGGCACATCCCCTTCAGGTGTGCCCTGCGCATCTGCTGGGACTTATTGCTGTGGCACAACAGCTCCAACCTGCTCTAGGGAGGTGGAAGTTGGCTTGACAATGACCCAGAGGCTGAGCATGAGCCTCACCAAGGCTGGGACGGGCCACCTGGGCGGGCGCAGGGCCAGCTGGTCAAGAGATGGTGCAGGGCACAGGGCCATGGGGCGGCCTCCTCGGGCCAGTGCCTCAGTCCTTCCTGCTTTCATTTCTTCAATTCGCAGTGACGCCACAGACAGGATGGACCTGGCCCAGCCTTGGGTCCTTTGGTGGCCCTTGGTGTTTCTTGTGGACACGCTTCCTCACTCTGGGAATAATCGTACTTCTTCCCCAGTCACCACGGTCTGTGTGGCCTTGTCCCCTCCCCCAAGAAGACAGGAATTGCTCAACCTCTGATCTCAGGAGGACACACTGGGAACACCTAGGGCTGCTGTGATTCTGCTTCTCTGGGTTTTTGAAGAGGGACATTTTTTCAGCTTAGAGATATGGACTTGTGCCCCGGGCTCTCCATACCCAGTGCACCTGCCCTCTCCTCTGTCCCTCTCACTGAGTAGAAAGGTCGGGGCCCTGGGCCACTGGGGTGGGAGAGGCCAGGACAGATGAATGTAGTCGTGCAGGCCCCAGCTGTACCCCTCAGGCCCCTGAGCAGAGCTCTGGGGCTTCCTGTCATGGCAATAGTCTCCCCTGGGGCTTGCTCTGGGGACACTTTGTGTACATCTGCAGAACATAGAAAAGGGGACCTGGTGATAGCTGAGAACAGGACCCCATCTCAGCCTGGTGCTGCAGCTCTGGGGGACCCCTGTGCTTCCTGGTGAGTGTGCTGAGCAGCCGGTGCCCAAGGACCCATCAGCTCTGCACTGATTTTCTGGGTGGCCTCAGCTGCTCTCCGTGGCCCTGCCCACTGCCCTCTAAGGCCCTTATCCGTGAGGCTCTGAGTCTAAGAATGTGTGGCTGTGCCTGTCCCTTTTCCTTCTGACATTGGCAATCTCGCTACCATGTCCTGGGGCCAAACCTGGGCCTGGCCTCAGAGGCCCACCCTGGAAGGCTCATGCTGGGGGTGGTGGGTGCAGGGAGGGCAGGGGGCTGGCCAAGGAGGCCGGGGTTGAACCGTGCTCCTTGCTGTGGGCTTTCAGGCCTGTGGCCTGTCTGTTTCCTCAACCGAAAAGTGGGGTGACAATGTTCACCCCTCAGCACCCCCACAGCTGTCCCCAGGGGAATTCGGGAGGTACATGACACAGCACAAAACACCAGGGAGACGTGTGGAACAGCAGCAGGAGAGGAACTAGGGGACATGGCTGCTCATGGTGAAGGGAGCCACCAGCTGAGGGGGGGAGGCCTGGTCTGCGGCTCCAGACGGATCCTAACATCTGCTAACGGGTCTGGCGGGCTCCCAGCTCCCACTTGAAACGGGGCTAGAAGCTGGCTTCTTGCCTTTCCAGCCACCTGGCGCCAGCCTGTCCTTCCTTCCTGCCCCCTAGGACCCTGGGGACTCCTACAAGGACACACAGTCATCTCTCTGGGGTGGGGAAGGGGTCTCATCTGCCTCTTGATACTGATTTCACGGAGTGCAGAGAATATTCTAGCAAAAGCAGCCCTTCTCCGAGGACCAGCTACTCGAGAGGCTAGTGCCTCCTTCCTCAGCACTGACCCGTCAATCAGAGGGGCCCTGGGTTCCGCCTCACCTAGGGAGAAGCCAGACTGGGCCCCAGCTGGAGTCTGAACGAAGAACATCTGTGTCCCCTCCTCTGGAGAGCCCTGGTCCTCAGAGAAGGGCGGTGTCTAAGCTGAGGTCAACTTGCAACACGGGCCGTCCCACGACCTGACCTGGCAGTTCTGCTTGGAGGAGCAGATTCCCAGAGTGCACTGAGGGCTCCCCGTCAGGGCCCCCCTCTGCATGCATCCTGAGAAAGGCAGTCTTTGGGAACCTCACTGGAGCCTTATGAGGAGACCTGTGGACAATATTAAACGGTGGGGGGCAGCATCAAGGACCACTTGATGAGTCAGGCAGAGAAGGAACGGGCAGGGGTTGAGTGCGCCCAGTTCTAGGATGACCAGAGACCTGTGAGAGCCAGAGCTGGTCCAGGGAGTGTACCTTGAGAAGCGCACTCTGTAGACCCAGGGCCTGGTCTAACAGAGCCCTGGAAGTGACACCGGCCATAGAAGGGCAGTATGGTGTCACCAAAAGAGCCTGGCTTTGAAGCCCAGCTTCCCAGTTCCAGGCCTGGCTCCTCACTTGCATGCTGTGTGGCCTCAGGAGAGTTACCTTACTCCTCTGCGCCTCTAGCGCCTCACCTGTGCACTAGGGAAATGATGTTGCCAAGTAACCGCGAGGATGAAGGACAGCCATGCGAATGTGGCGCTGCACCTGGACCCGGTGCTCAGGCACAGGAGCCAGGTCTGTGTTTTCCCCTCACCTGACCAAGGCAGGACCACAGAGGCCGGGGGACAGGGCGGCTCACTCTCTGGCTGGAAACCCATGCCTTGCTCCTCGCCGTTATCCGTGATGACGGGATAAAAGCAGCAAGGAACCAAGGGAGATGGAGCCGGAGCCGCTGGGATCTGCACACTGTGGTGTGGACAAGATGGCCCCAGGGCACCCCGCTGTCTGTGGCCTGACTCTGGAGAGAGACTTGAACACTGAATGTAACTGACGTTTATGTGTGCATGGGGGTGTGTCGTCGAGGAGACCCCTGCCGTCACAAGTCCCCAGGGACTGGAACGCTGGCTCCCTTCCTGAGGCCAGATGCCACTTTTCCTTCCTGCCTCTCTCCCTGGGTCACGGCAGACACAGCGCCCTCTCCCACCTGCCTTCCCACGGCCGTATGTAGGCTGGGGCTGCTTCTTGCTTCTTTAAAGGGATACAGGCGCCCCCGGGGACTTGAGGCCAGAAGCTGTGGCATCATCTTCTGCCACTGAAGTGCCCCAGAAGATGCCAGGCATGCCCTGGCCCCTGTCCTGGCTCTGGACTTCCCTCCTTGGGTTCTCGGGGAGACATCTGTCTAAGAAAGCCTTGCTCGGGGGGCAGACCTGGGGCATGGGGAGGAGGGCGCTGCTGGCGAAGCAGCCGGGTGAACACCCAAGGGCCCCGTGCGTGCAGGCTAACTACCCAGTCCAGCCTGCTGTCCGGCAGTGAGTCCAGAAGGAGTCCCAGGCAGACCGTCCCAAGTCCCTTATCCCAGGCTGTAAAGGTCAGGCCGGTTCCTCACTGAGCAGAAGCATTTGCAGATGGATGCGTGCTAATCACGGCCGGCAGCCGCCATGGCTCTGTCTGGAGGCCGGGCTGGTGAGCCTGCTATCGTGCAGCTCCCAGAGACGAGTGGCCACTTCTGGACAACCGAGGTGCCCTTTACCCATCATCAAGAACCCTCATGTCCTCTGAGACAGCAGTGACTGGGTCAGGATTTCTAAATCATCCCCAAACACACACAGGGGCTTCTTTACTAGCTTTCAAAGTTCCTCCATCGTAGAGCGGAGACTTATGCCACGTACCTTCTTTCTGTAGTGGAGGGAGAAGGGAAGGAGAAAGACCCCTGGGCCTGTGGCCAGTCAGTCCTCCCTGAGATCCTTCCCGCTGTCTGCACAGGGAGTGGCCTCGGGAAGGTGGTGCGGTGGCCGTGTGCAGTAACTTCCCGGGACTGGGCCCTGCACGTCCCACCCTGCTCTGCTGTTTACTGGGGGCCTTCCATGTTTCGTAGGACCCCCAGGGAAACTGGACCTGCAGAGGAGCACACAACAGCCAGACTGGTCCAAAATACAGGAGAAGGCACAGCCTGCCGCTTCCCACCCGGCTTCTACACCCCTGGATGGTCACACCACCGAGGGCAGCTTCTCCAGTAACCGGACCTGGGACCACATGCAGACCACAGCCCTCTCCGTCCCATCCACCTGACAATTCGGTGGACGGGCATCTTTCCCATCTCTGGAATTCCAGGATTCCTCCGAGGAGAAAGAGCAACTTCGTTTGGGCAGCTGAAAAGTTAACTGCGCAGCAGAAGTAGTTTGGAAGATGTCCCCTTCTCTTCTTGAAAAGATGAGGAAGTCCATCCAGCCCTGGACACCAGTGCCCCCGAAACCCCACCATGTGACCAGTAACCCCCCATCCCTGGGTTTCCTGATGTGCCCAGGGCCCTTAAGGGGCCAAGTGCCTGGTGACGAAGGCCATTTCCGAGTCACATTAGGGCAGCCCTATGGCCCTGTATGATGACCAGGGGCTGAACAGGAAACCCAGCTGGGCTGGGAACGCGAGTGTTCCCAGAGCTACTCCTGCCCAGCCCCCACACGTGGGGTTTAGCACATTTGTATAAATCAAGACACAGCAGCGGTCATTTACGGTTAGCAAGTGATCACCAGACCACGTCCACCTTTTAACCCTGACCACCTGGTCCACGTCGTCTCCTGCGTAGGGACCACAGTTTCAATGACCCCCACAGGCCATGTCTGCTGAGCCCCCCGGGAGCAGGAGGCTCACACTTCCATGTCTGGAGCAGCTTCACCACAGCCTGGATATCTGCCCTCCAGGCTGCCAGGTCTCTGTGCCCAGAGAGGCCATTCAAGCGGTCAGAGCTCCGGATTCTAGAACATGGGCAAGAAAGGGCCGCATGGAAAGCCTGGCTCGCACTGGCCGGTGCAGAGGGGCCGTCCTGAGTGGCCGGTGGCAGTCGTGCCCTCAGAAGGTGAAGGCGTACACCACCCCGACCACCACGATGTTCCCCAGCGTCGCTATGATGGCGATCCACAGCAAGACGGCGTCGTTGGAGGACCTAGGAGGCTCTTCCAGCTGGCCCTGGCCGTTGGAGGCCGTGTGGACGTTGGCGGAGGAGTTAAACAGGGAGTACTCGGTGCTGAAGTCCTCGTTGGGCGAGTCCATGAAGGCTCCTCCCATCATGGGCAGCTGTGAGGAAGGAGAGAGAATTAACAGGGCAGCTGCAGGAGAGGGGCCCCTCAGGGGAGCCACCCCTGGGAACTGCACTTTGTCCCTGGCACCCAGGCAGGCCTTTGCCTTCCCTCGTGTAAGTGACAGCGTGTTTCAGTGACGGAAAATGAGCATTCATGGCAAGGTGTGTGGCGGGTGCCCTTGTGCCCACTCCACAGGCAAGAGCTTCAAGAAGGGCACCCGACAGCCAGTGGGCGACTCCTGGGGACTCACAGCGCCACCCCCACACCAGGCCTGCAAGTAGCATGGTCGGCCACTTCCCCCAAATCCTCTCCTGAGTTTACAAATATGATGTGATCAGCACGGAACACTAAGAAAACAGTGTTTTCTAAATCCTGTGTACATTCGTCCTCTTGGCCACGCTTGGTCCTCTGCAGAACGTGGGTGCCTTGGCGCTCCCCTCCCTCCTCCAGGGCCACCTGTGCGGGTTCCTAGACAGGCCACCCTGACTCCACATGCCGGATCCAGCACCCCTCCATCCTGCAGAGGTCCCTGGCCTGAGCCTGCTGCCTGCCTCTCTCTGGGAGGGACACACACTGCCTCTGTGTCAGTTTCCTGTTGCTATAGTAACAAATTGCCACAAATTCAGGGGTTTAGAACAACACCAGTTTATTACTTTATAGATCTGGAGGTCTCACGGGACCACAGTCAAGGTGTAAGTCAAGCAAAAATGAGAACAAACATGAACAAAGATGAGACTCATCATCCCCACACATAATCCCTGTAACATTTTAATATTTTTTCTCTTCAGTGCTTTTTTTCTGGATGTGTATGTATCAGAGGCCAGGAGGAGAGAGAGGGGGATTCACCTACGTATTAAAAAGTCCATCCAAACTCCATCCCAACAGTTGTGTAATATTCCATCAAACACAGAAGCCCTAATTTAATCCTCCCCCTAGAGTTGGACCCAGGAGTTTCCATTTTTGCCTTTTACGTAAGACACACTGATAAGCACCGTGCATCTGGGTGGACACATCGTTGCACACACATTTTTATTTCGGGGGACAGATGCCACATGCACAATTTCTGAGTCCATAGTGATGAATATTTTAGAGTTTCTGGTCCACAGGGACAAACTCCCCCTGGGAGAGTGCTTCTAGCTCCCCCTGCCTGGGCTGCACGTCACTGACCTGAGGATGCCGGGCACTTGTCTCTGGGGATCAGAACTACCTATCTCCTCCTCGAGAGGCTCCCATCTGTTCCATCTGCAGGATGGAGCTGGGGGTGGGGGGTCGGTTGCTCAGAGGGAAAGGGCGGCCCTGGACCTAACAGGGAAGAAGGCTCTCCCTGCCCCCGCCTAGGAGAACAATGTCCAGGCTGTCCCAGGCCCTGCCGCCCTCCCTCGCCCCCAGAGCCAGTGTGGAGATGTATTAATTCCCAGGTTTGGTTCTGGCACCAATTTGGCTTCTGATAAATGTTTCCCTCACATGGGACCTGAAGGGACGAACAGGAGACAGTCACCCCTTCCTGGACACATGTTTGCAGGCCCTGCTAGCCAGGAGATGAGCCAGAGATAGTAATATACTCACTTCTCCTGGTTGATGGCAGAGCTGCACTCCATTTTACAGGTGGGTAAGCAGAGGTTGAGGCCACAGTCTAATCTGTTAGGGTGTGGAGCAGGTCAGTCTGGAGCCTGGGCCCCCCGACTCAGGGCTCAACCAGTCCTGGTAGGTGGCTGGGTCTCGGGGCCTCCTTGTAAAGGCCTCCTTGTTACTGATAAACAAGCTGAGCACTGCTTTGACTGAGAAGAGCAACCTCTGATGGGCTCCTGACTGGAGGAACTTGGCATTTCATTGCTGACCACATGCTGCCCTTATGGCAATGATGAAGCCATGTGTACTGGGGTGTAGTGATGGGAAATGGCCACTAGGGGGCGCTCAGGCCAGGCTCCTCCCAGATGGGGGCTGTTGGCCCTGGGAGTGAGCTGGCTCCAGAGGTGCATTTATATACATAATCAAGTCAGCATTGTTTTAGTATGTCCATAAACAATGACGGATATAAATGGGACAGATAACAGATGACAGGGCTCCTTGACAACGCGATGGGGTTATGTCCCTACAAACCCGTGGTAAGTGAAAGATATTATAAGTAGAAAATGCTCTCAGATGCCCAACCCAACAAGCACCGGAGCTCAGCAACTCAGCCAAATGCAGTCTCTGGCTCCCCTTCCAGCAGGCAGGGCTGACGGAGCTGTGGCCACTGACACTGCCCAGCATCAGCAGAGAGGACCGGGCTTCCTATCTAGCCTGGGGAAACACCCAGATTCCAAATTCGGAGGGCAGTTTCTATTAAAGGTGCATCGTTTTCACACCAGGGCAAGTTAAAAAGAAATCCTATCTGAACCACCGTACATTGGAGACCGTCTGCATAGACATTAACAAAGCTATTAAAATTAGAAATAAAAAAACTAGGACCTCAGATGGGCCACAGGGATCCGGAACATGTGGGCCAACCAGACAATGGGCGACAGGAAGGCTGGGCAGAGGGCCTGGTGCCGCTGGGCTCAGCCACCGGGAGGGGCCCTGGGCTTTCCAGCAAAGCTGAGCATGCTGCCCGTCTCAGTGCAACAGTCCTGTCCCCCAGAGCACTCCCTGGCTGGCCACTTCTGGGGGCCTGTCCCACACTGTCCCCCAGTGGCCTGGGGGCTCTGTGAGGGGAACTATATTTATCATTCTTATCGTGGAGTTCTTAGGGGCTTGCACAGTGGTGCCTAAAGTCCACGCACTGATAAAGACGGCCATTTTCTCCTTTCTACAAACAACTGCTACTCCTACTTGGCTGGTTCTGTCCCCAGGAGGGGTGAATCCCTTCTCTAGGTCATCACTTCTGGCCCTCTACAGGGCCCACCCTCCACAAGGCCTCCTAGGCCACTGGAGGCCACTTTCTGTGGTGGCCTCTTAGAAAGTGGGGTCCAGCCAGGGGACGCTGCATGTTCGTCCTCTTGGACATGCAGAACGCGGGTGCCTTGGCCCTCCCCTCCCTCCTCCAGGGCCACCTGTGCGGGTTCCTAGGCAGGCCACCCTGACTCCACAGGCAGGATCCAACGCCCCTCCATCCTGCGGAGGTCCCTGGCCTGAGCCTGCTGCTGCCTGTCTCTGGGGCATGTTTGGGTTTGAGAAAATTTTCACCCAAAACGCTGGGGGAGAAAATGGGGATCTGAACAGAGACTCTGGCTGGGCCTCGCCAGGCTCACCATGCGCCCTCAACCTCCCACGCCTCTGCTCTCTGCTTCCCTGTGGTGCTCACTCAGCGCCTGTGTTAGTTTCCTGTTGCCACAGTGACAAACTGCCATAAATTCAGTGGCTTACGATGAGACCAGTTTATTATAGATCTAGGGGTCTCGTTGGACCACAGTCAAGGTGTCAGCAAAGCTGCCCCCTTGGAGGTGCAGGGGAGCCTGGCTTCCTGGCCTCTTCCAGCCTCTAGAGACCCTCCTACACACAAAGGGCTCTTTTGAAGGGTTGTTAGAAAAGGGCACGGCTGACTCCTCAGGCCGAACTCCCTCCACCTCTTTCTTAACAAAAAAAGGGTAACAAGTGGAACCACAGGAACTGATGGGGGTGAAATCATCAGGGGCCTCCCCTCCGGAGTGCCTCCTAGACCCAATCCCAGAGCTCCTCAGCAATGGGACAGTCCCCATGCTGAGACCCTCTTCCCTGCCCTGCACCTGTGGTGAGAACTCAGGTGGCCAGAGGACGTGGCCAGTGTCAGACTGATCCTGCTGCCCCAGAGCCTAGGGACCAGGCTGGGAAAGACGAGGGTGGGACGAAGTTCAGAAAGACTCGGGCGAATCCTGCTTGAACACACATTGGGGTCTGGGTGTGTCAGTTACACACTGGGCTTAATTTCCTTCCTGTAAGTAATGGGGATAAGACAGACGAGCAGGTGAGATTGTTGCAAGGGGCACCTGAGACCCGTACGATGACAGGGCACCTGCTAATCTCTGCCGGGGTTTGCACGTGGTTTTAACCTCCAGGGATTCATGTGTTGGAAGCCTGGTCCTCAGGGTGGCCATGTTAAAAGGTGATGGACCTTTAAGAGGTGGAGCCTATGGAGGTCACTGGGGACTGCCATCATAAGGGACTAAGTAGTTCTGGTGGGACACCAGTGAGTTCCTGCAAGAGGTTGTCATAAAAGAGCTAGCCAGACCCTTTCTCATTCCTGGGCTTCCTGTCCTACCAGGTGACCTCTCCCTCTTGCATGTATTCTAATGAAGGTGCCATCTGCCAAGATGTGATGCAGTCAGGAGGGCCCTCCCCAGAGCTGGCACCATGCTGTTTGGACTTTCTGCCTCCAAACTGTGAACTAAATAAACCTCTTTTCTTAATAAACTATCCAGCTTCAGTTATTTCCTTAGAGTAACACAGAACAGACTACTATAGTCACTTGATAATTACTAATATTCTTCCCTTCTAGTGTTCCTGTAGTAATTGAACACTTATTATTATGTATCGCTTAACCTACTGCTGAGGCTGAAGTAAGGAAATCAGAAGGCAGGCATTGCTAGCCATGCATTTTTTGTGTGATCAATTAATCAGTTCATTTGCAGTTATTGACAGATGGTCCTGCACGCCTCCAACTTAGGCTGAGGCAGGCAGCTAAGATGCGCCAAATCCATCCGTCTCAGGTGTGTTGCTTCTGTTTTGTGTTGATGCTTTTTTTTTTCTTTGTAAAATAGACTGTAAATTCCAAGTGCTGGCTAGCTATGAAAATGACTTTAAGCGCCGAAAATCTCATGACAGGACAACAAATGGTTGGTGCTTATTTGATCATTTGGAGGCTGGGAAGATTTGGTGAAGAGCTGGCTCATGGTCAGATGGAGGGGGCGCTGGCCAAAGTCACCTTGGAAACAGGTGGAGAAAGATGGTGGCTTTCAAAGGCCACCCAGCCAGGCGGCTCTACTTTTAAGTCACTGTTGGAGACACCTGCTGGTGGCATGGCTTTGTTGGCATGGTGAC